CGGGGGCAGCCCCGGGACCTGCTGTTCTTTCTCAGCAGAGGCGGTGGCAAACGGCTGATGCCCCGCACCAGATTCACTGCTGGCTGAGGCGCTTGCTGGGGTGAAACGTCTGAGACAGGTCTGAAGAGAAAGTGTCTTTCTCCTACAGTACAATGTCAAAGGAGAATTGCATCTTTCCAATGTGAGGAGGAGATGTAATGGAGGGGTTTATCGCATAACACATCCCTAATCCCCAAAAGTCCAGGCAACCTGAAGGGAGAGGCTGATGCCTCAAGAGCCCCCGTAGAGTAGCCTCACCACCATGGGAGAGAGGGCAGCCTTGACCGGCCTTGGTCCATCCCGGGGGTGCCAGGGCAGTGCAAGCCCAGGAAACGGTACCAGGACAAGGAACAGTGCAGTGAGCTCTCAGCGTAGCGTCCTCTGTGGCCCAGGGCCTCTGTTCCTCCTGTGCTGTTGTAACTCCTGCCTCTGTGCCAATGGCTTCCAGAATGCAGAGGAAAACTCTCGCATCTCAATCACCTTCTTCCGACTCTTCCGCGTGATGCGTCTCGTGAAGCTCCTGAGCCGAGGGGAGGGCATCCGGACGCTGCTTTGGACCTTCATCAAGTCCTTCCAGGTATTCCTTCACTTACCTCAAAGTAAGACCTAATGCTTTTTTTTTTTCCCCCCCTTGGGGTGGGTTTTCCCCCAAGTGCCGGAGCCCAGAGGCTGCTGGTCAGAGCTGTGCACACCAGTGACACAGGGCACGAATGGGGGTCAGGTAAAGGGGGCTCGCATGGGATGACTGCCTGGGTATGAGTTTCATCCTTAAGGCATGGGTAATTGTTTAAGACCTTCCTGAACAGCCTTGAGAGTTCAGTTCAACTCAGTTACCACCTGTAATACCTCGTGTTCCCCCTGTTACCCCTTAATCCCCCCTTTTTTTTTTTTTTTTTTTTTAATTTTAGCCATATTTTCTCTTTATTGCTTTAAGCGAAGTGTACAGCTATGGGAAGGCCTGGGCCGCAATTAAGTTTCCCTTAAGCCTTGTTTTGAGGATTTCCAGTGAGTATTAGAGGTGTGTGGCTCCTATGCTTTCATCCAGGAAGAATTTCACCTTTTTGACCCCACACCTTTGGCTCTGGTAACAATGTTAAGTTATTAAATTGCTGCTCCTTTTGCCCTGAATGCAGATTGCATTTCAGTGGTAGATAAAGTACCAGAGTAGATAGGGGAAGGCAAAGGAGACCAGAATGGACAAGAATCATCACCTCTGGGGGAAAACAAACACCAAGAGATAACTATTTGCTAGAAACACTGCTTCTAAACAAGCCCCTAACCCAGCTATGTAGCGAAAAATGGTCGTTAGAGATGAAGCTTAGCATATTCCTGCATTTTACAAGTACTTGACCCAGATTTACAGGGCCAGCACAACCTGGATGTTAGCTGGGGCAGGTCCAGAGGAAGAGCCAGGGAAAGACAGCACAGGAATACAAATGGTGGTCTAAACACGAGAAAAGATGCAGGACACGCCGGTGGACAAAAACATGAGAGAGTAACTTGTGCAACACTCAGGTCTTGAAACAGCAAACATCTGTCCCTCAGACTGAGGCTTTAAATGATTGGCAGCACTTGTAATGACTCAGATGGGAAAAGGAGCTGATCCGTGCTTTAAAACTTCAGCCTCACCAGGTACAGCACGCGCTGGGACCAAAGCCTGCTGTGCTGTGGATTACCACCACTTCTGTCTCTGTCAGCAGAAGTAGCACGTGGACACCAGGGATCAGTCTGGACCTTTTTCAGAGCAGCTCTCGAGCAGTCTCAGTAGCCAGACCACCAGGCTGATGCAAAGGGCTCTCGTTTTGCACACTCCCTGGCTGCCAGAGGATCTAGTATTGCACAGCAGTTTTCTGACACATCTGTACCGGAAGCGACTTTTTTCCATTGCTTACACGGTTTCTAATTTCCAGGTAGTGATTTGAGCAGCTCCAGTGGGAACCATTTTGTCTGCATGCATAGGAATGAGATTCCCTTGGCACAGCTCAGCCATCCCTGATGCAGGGGACAGTCACACTTTCCAGTTCCTCCTCCTCCTCCCCTTGCTCCTGTGCCCCTCCAGCCTCTTTAGCAATAGCTTGCTGTTACCCTGAGCACAGCTTGCCACGGCTCTTGGCTGGAGAGGATAAGATGGATGGGAAAGGGAGTGCCTGGTACTTCTCTCCAGTGACCTTCAGACCTCTTGGACTGGAGAATCACTTTTAGGCAGAGTTGTAGGGTGATGGAAGAAAGTTATCAAGAGAGGTATCTTCCACGGGGGGCGGGGGGGGGGGAGAAGCACTGCAAGCAAGTGCCTTTTCCGTTGAAAGCCTTCAGCCGTTTATAACATGGTGTTCTCTGCTCAGAGCACCTCCTCTTGCAACTACTGGGAGGCTTCTGCAGTAGCTAAGAATAGCGACTGTGCAGAGCTCTGAACTCAGCCACTCCCACTGTCAAAATCTGGCATCCCTGCAGACTCTGTCTGGCACGGACTCTCCTCCGTGTCCCCACGTGCTTCCAGGGAGCGTCTCTGTTCACACAGGGCAGCCCTAACAAGCAACGAATTTGTGCTGGAGTTCAGAGCCCACTGGAACTACCATGTGCCCTGCACGTGGCGCGCGGTGCTTACCTACGAGCTGGGGCACCCGTCAGAGGAGTGCGTGGTGGGAAAACGCTCCGCGGGGTTTCCGCCTGCAGCAATAGCAACAGAGTCCAGGCCAGCGAGGGGGAGGCGTAGGAAGTGAGGGGTGCTGAGGGTGAGGCAAGGCCGTGGGAATCATAAGGACAACGTGGTAAAGCCAGGGAAGGACGGAGACAGAGGAGGACAGAGCCAGAAGAGTGGAATGTGGGAGGTGGGGAGCTGAAGGAGCCGTGAGACATAAGGGGCAGAGATGAGAAGGAAGGTGCATCAGTGGAGAGGAGTGGGCTGAGCAAAAGACCATGGAAAGAAAGTGCAGGTCCAGATGGCCAGGAAAGAAGACACTTCTCCCATTCACATTTGAAAGACTGAAGAACTGGTAGGGTTATGCACCTCAGATCCTGCCTGAACACTATACCAGGAGCTCTTCTGAGGTCTTGTGTGTGTGAAGTCCCAACTAGATCATCACAAAATGCTTGGAGCTTAGTTCTGAGCTGGTGTATCTCCACTGGCATTGTGGGGTAACCATACAGGTTTGTCCGACCCCATATAACACAGAGGAATCTGCCCCTGAGCCTCAAGATAATGACTACAGACACTGTTTAAAGGTTTGAATTTTTGCCATGTTAATATTCAGATCTCTTTGAGAAGATTTCTGAAGATCTTAGTCAAATCTCCATAGAGGTCAGTGAAAATTTTTCCTCGATTCTTCCTGTAGGGTTTAGCCCTGTTGAATTTAGGCATAGACTTAAAATGTGTAAATCATCTTGTATTAAAAAAGATAATAATGTTGTAGGCTCTTTATAGTCTGTGAAATGGGGTGTTCAAAATCCAGATCAGTGACTGCTCTCACATTTTCAGGATGAATGTGTCTGCCCATTGTCCCTGAAGTCTGAGCACTATGTATTTCAATAGCAACAGAGCAGAAAACTCCTCCAAAAAAGCCTGAGCCCGTGAGGTCCCGAGCTGTGCCCGTGATTCCTGCTAGTGACAGCGCTCAACACTGTGCTGATGGCACCGGCCTCTGCCTGGTGACACAGCTCTGCAGGTCCGGGCTCTCTGCATTCCCTCTGCAGCAGCCAAGGCGCTGACCGGGTTACGGACCCCCGGCGCTGACCAGGGCGCAGAGCTTTGGGCACAGAGGACGGAACCGGCCGCCGCAGCAGAAAGCCTTGAGTCTGGGTCTCTGCAGCTGCGCGGTTTGGATTTCACCAGACTGGATCCAGAAAAAAGAATGCCATTGCCGTTAGTGCCAGAATAGTGCTGGTTGTGGGAGTTTTCTCCTCTCGACCAGCAGCTGGGGCCAGCCTCTGCCCCGCAGCCAGGAGCATCAACCAGGCTCCAGTGTGCCGGGCTCGGCGGAGACACCGTGCTCTCTTTTTGTTCTCTTTTTTTTGTTTTTTTCATTTCTAGGCTCTCCCCTATGTGGCTCTTTTAATAGTGATGTTGTTCTTCATCTATGCTGTGATCGGGATGCAGGTGAGTGATGCTGAAGAGCTCAGCTGTGTCTCTCTTCTGTTAGAGTTTTAGTTTTTAGTTATTTATAAAGTAACTAGATCAATGCATGGCTGTAGGGGCTTACAAGAATGTTTTCGCCCAGTAAGGTAAGGCAGCAGCTAACCTTGGTTGGAAAACATTGTGTGCCTATGCACTGCCAACAGGAGCACAGCGCACTCCAGAAAAAACCAAAAATTGATCCATTTAATGGCAGAATGCAATATGCAAACAGTAGAAGGACCATGCCTGCCCTCCAGGCTCTCAGAGGAATACCCAGCCGCAGTGGTAAAGGAGATCTACTGCCTCACTCCTTAGCTCAAAATCGTGGCTTCAGTGGGCTTGTGGCTGCTGCGCTGAACAAACTCATTTTTTTCTCTCGCATCACTTTCACACTGGCGTAACTTCCACTGAGTCGTAAAGAGCAGCTTTTGATTTACACCCGTGAAGGTAAATATGGGATCAGACCCAGCATACCGAGGCTCTGCGTTAGTGCCCGTTCTTCAGGAAGCTGCATCACTACAATATCCTACTCAGTTTGCAAAATGAACTGGGAACCAGCCTGAGCATTCATCTGTGCAAGGAACTGATGTTGCACCCAGGCCATTGAAGAGAGCATGGGATACAGGCAGTCTGTGACAGTCCCACCCTCATTTGCTGTGCTGCTTTTTGGACTGAGCTTCACTTTCCACTTCGGTGTTAATCGAAGATCTCAGACAAGTCAGCCATCTGGGACCAGAGACCAAAGTACAGAAAGGCATGGCATAATTGCTTCCAGAGTTCTTCAAACACGACAGGCTTCTTGGTTTCACAATGCCGACAGAATTTGTAACAAAATTCAGCTGACCTCTGTGACCTTGTTTTCATTTGTTTCCTGTTATTATAATCAGATCTTTTCACAGACTCCATCTGTCCTCCCGCAGTTTGAAAAATAAAACTGATCTTTTCTTGAATTATCATAGGTTACCTCAATTGCCCCCAGTAATTGCAGCTGTCATTTAGTCTACTAGGCCTATACTGTAAACTTACTAGTTTTGCCTTTAATACCTAACTAGTTCAAATGGCCAAGACCTCACAGGATTACCTGTCCTATACAGAAAATCACCTGAGAGCATTACACTAGTTGTTATGTAGCTACATGAAGCACTAAAAATGGCTTCCAAGGACCCACACAGATGGGGTCTGCAATGAAGGGGGCACTGCCAGGGCTACCTATTTTATTCTGTAATTCTACTCCTTTTTTCTGTCAGCTAGTTCTAAGTTGGCTATTTAATCCTTGGCTTACGTTCAAGCCTCTGTTTTAATGATCTCAGCAGGCTGAAGACCATACGTCTGTCTGTCACATTGATCTAGATTACTAGAGTGCTTCCTGCCCTCCTGTCTTCCAATGAGAAAACCAACTTTCCTCATCTTCGCTCTTTCCTTAGAGCCCACAGACCTGTTATCGTCACTTTTTTGTCCAAATGGCATCTCAGACATTTTGTGTGCTGCTCTCTTGAGCCTGCTGACACAGAAAGTTCCCTCACACATGGGTACACATAGGAAGGAAAATCCTTCCTCACTCCATTAAGCAGCTGCTTTGAAAGACTAGATGTACCAGATCGGATGAAAATATAAGAATTTCGCACCTAAAGGAGACTTACCGCTTTATCCCAGTTACTGCCCTGACTTGGGAGCGTAACAACATTCAAGCCTCCCTACTTTACGTGCCCAAGAGGAGAAAATCCAAATTGACGCTGATGGATGAAGCCACTCATATCATGGCTCAGGAGGCAGGGACTGGAGAAGCCATGAGAGAGGAACCTCGACCTGCAGCTCATCCTGGGTGCCTAATGCAAAACTGATGCTGGTGCATCGTGTGTGAGGGAAGCCACAGGGTCAAAGGAAGATCAGACTTCCAGCATGGGAAGTTCCCTTGCCTACACTTGCCTGAAATGAAAAATATGGGCTGCCTCAGCTCAAACTGCCTCTGAGTATTTAATCCGTCCTGCTCCTCCTCAGTGCAGCTGGAGCTGTCACTGCTACCCACGTTGTGGGGGCGGTTGGGGCTGCAGAAGGCCCAAAGGTCCATGAGGAACCCCTGCAGAGAGCCTGCCATGCACAGACCCTCCCTCCTGTCTGGCATGGCCTCCCCGCCATTGTCCCTGCCCTTCTTTCTACATCATTGTTTCTTTTGGGGTGTTAATTATCAGTGACATTTGCTTGAAAAGAAGCTTGGTGTTCTCACAGAGCTGCTTTGTTCCTGCTGCTCATTTTGGCTACAAGATTGCAGCTCTCGGTCCTTGAGATCTCTGTCATGCTGCAGTCGACAGGGAGTAAATAGTCCTGAGTGACTACGCTGTGCAGAGACCTTTCTGCCAGGCAAGGTTTGTTAAGCTCTTGGTCCTGGTGCCCGAAAGTACCAAAGCTGTTGAAGACAAAGAAGCCTGAAACTCTCCTGCTCTGGAGACTTCACATCCGAGGGCAGGCCCCTAAAAAAGTTTGCTGATTCTTGCAGGCTTTGTGCTGTGGCTGGGTGAACGTGGCGCAGCGATGGTCGGTTGGGCATGGAAGCAAGCTGTAAGCCATCCTTGTCTGGACAAATCTCGTCATCATCTTCACACTGCTGCATTGGGGGAGGTGAGGGGGTGGGCTTGAAACACCTGCTGGTGACAAGCATGGCTGCTGGGAGGACAAGCATTTGGACAATCTCTAGATCCAAGGCAACGTACTTTACATTGTTTTGGGAAGATCCAAGGCACCCTGCAGAGCTGGAAGCTCGAGGCATTGCAGCTGCTGGTCTTTTGCTATCATTTCCTCCCGGTGAAGACAGATAAGCAATGAAGGAAGGAACCTTTTCTTCTGTGTTACTGATTTCTTTCAGCTGGACCCCCCTCCACATGTGAGTGCCTGTTAAAATAAGGTCCCACATTATCTATTCACAGTGTATGAAATAAGGAAGGGTGTCTCGTTTTAACAAAAGATGCCTCTTGTTACAAAATGAGTGCTTTTCTGGTGATTAAGCACAAGCAAGGGAAGCAACAGCAGATATGAAACACCTGTGGAAATTATTTTTTAAGAGAAGAACAGATTCTGTTAAATATCAGAATCAGGGTGAGGCCAAGAGCTACAGGTGACAAGAGGTTTGGGGATTTTGCAAGGATAACCTGAAAAGACCTCTGCTTTCTGCCAGGTTTTTGGTAAAATTGCGCTCAACGATACCACCGAAATCAACCGCAACAACAACTTCCAGACCTTCCCCCAGGCAGTGCTGCTGCTTTTCAGGTGAGTGTCTGACAGCTCTGGATTGTGCCAGCCTGGGAGCACGATTCCTCTGCTCTTGGGCACAGCTTATCTCATTCTACCATGTCATGCTCATGAGGTGAGTAGAAACATGTTGTCCCTTAGCGGGGAAGCCCAGGAGTTAAGGCAGATGAAATGACCGGTCCATTAAGCCTTGCACCCTGCCAGCTGACATTGGTCAACACTCAGTGCTGGGGACGGGGGCAAGTCCTCTTTCTCAGAAGGAAGGGAGCTGGTTTTCAGTGCCCTTTCATTCAAATCAAGCCAGCATGACTTCAGCTTATTTTAGCAGGGAAAGGGACATGATCTCCCCCACTCGTGCTTTGGCACGGCCATGCCCAGCTCAGCTTAGCACATCATCCTCCTCCAGCTGTGGGCAGGTACGCTGGGGCCAGGGAGGGGTGCTGCAGGGCTGAGGATCTGGCACAAATTCAACGCGCTCTCCTCATTTTCAAGGAGGGTCTTCATGCATGCATAGCCATGTCACACACATCTCGATGACTCTGGCTGGTTGGAGCATGAGAGCTGTGTACCCAGACTAGGCAAAGTCAGTCAGGAAAAACATGCTGATGATGGCAACAAAGCCAAAAAGAGGAGCAGGGTATGCCAGTGTGTGTTATAGCCCAGCCATCGGCCTAACCTACCATTAAGTGGCCTCAGTGGCAAAATTCCCATTAATGTTCTCGGGAGCAGGAACAGGTTGCTAATGTGACAGTCTCTCTCACATCGAAGGTCACTGCTGTCTTCCCTTGCCCTTTGCCATGCCCAGGTGTGCCACTGGTGAGGCCTGGCAGGAAATCATGCTGGCATGTCTCCCAGACAAGAAGTGTGACCCGGAGTCGGAGCCGGCCAACTCCACCGAAGCCGATCACTCCTGTGGCAGCAGCTTCGCCGTCTTCTATTTCATCAGCTTCTACATGCTCTGTGCCTTCCTGGTGAGTCTCCCCCAGCGACCAAAACCTTCCCTTTGTCAGACTGAGCCCCTGCCTCCCCAGATATCAGCACTGCACAGCAGAAGAATGAGCTCAACAAGGGGAAATCTCCCCATGGGACCTTTCCCAGCCGCACCCTTTCAGTGACAACACCCCCTTGGTTGCTGCCAGTCCTGCCTCCCTCCAGCTCTGGGAGATGCTCTGCTTCAAATCCCAATCCTTTGTGCACAGCAAGGGAGCACTCTTCCCCCCTCCCCCTTGATGAGAAAACCAAGTTAGCATGTTGTGGGCTGTGCTGAGGCTAGCAACGCCTCAGTCACACTTCCCACCTTCCCTCCTACCTTCCTTCTGGCTGCTGAGCAGGTTTTTCCTCCCCTGCCAGCAGCAATGACTGTGAGAATACACATATCCCACTTGCATCTGCTCCTGTTGGCAATGCGGTATTGCTCAGAGTGACAGCACATGCTCTGCAGCTGGCATCAGTGCACAAAACTCTCCCAGTGAACAGCAGCAACCTTTTAAATGTTTTGGTCTTGGGCCAGAAGAAAGGACTTTTGTCTCAGCCCCACTGCCTGTAGAGGATAAATCCCAGGTTTTCCCACCACTACCCGGTTCTGCTGGGCAAAGACTCAGGTAAATAAAAAGTCATCACAGCGTGTCTAAGCACTCAGCAAACTTGGGCCTCGTCCATTCAGTAGGGAAGAGAAAAATGTGACCAGCTGTGAATGTCCCGCCTCTGGGATCTTCCCATTTAAACTGGGGAGCTGGCACGGGGGAACAGAGAACCCTCCCTCACTGGCTTCCTAGTTTTAGGAGTCCAAATCCAGACCTTAAATAGAGAAATGTCTACTGTTACCTGCCTCATCCATCAAGTCATGTCTGTGCTTGTTTGCAGATCATCAATCTTTTTGTAGCTGTTATAATGGATAACTTTGATTACCTGACACGGGACTGGTCCATTTTAGGACCACATCACCTGGATGAGTTTAAAAGGATCTGGGCAGAGTATGACCCTGAAGCCAAGTAAGTAACCCAGGCTGGATATCAGAGCTCCTCAAGAGAACAAGCCCATTATTTTCTGTTCTCTAGACCCAGTGCAGTAAGTGCCATGTTCCTCCTGCAGGAACACTGATTTTCCTGCAAAAATCCTAAAACAGATACCTCCACAAGGTATTGCTGGTGAATCCATAAGCCAGAAGTGCAAGCATACACACAAAAATCTCAGCAGTTACCTGGCAGGACATTGCTTCACTTTCAGTCCAAGGAGGGGATGTAGACTGTTTAGGGAGGGGGAGCAGGAGATTGAGCAGAGGAGGTTACAGGTTTGCTTTATTGTTCCATGTGTTTGGGATATTGAGCTGTGACTCTTCTATTTGACTTTCCACTCACAGTAGAGCTGCTGTGCTCAAATCTCTGTTTTTGTCACATGTCATATAGGCCCATCACGACCTGTACCTTCACGTGGCTGCGTTACATCGTCTGCAGCGTTGTTCACATCAGCAGACTTGCAGAGATTCGAAGTTACACAAGAACAACTCACACAAGGGCTTAAATGACACTCACTATTTTATGCTCTGTTCAACACATGCTTAGGCTTTAAAGTGCGTTTAGATCCCTGTGGCATCATAGCACAATTGACAGTTGCAATTACAAAGCCCCCTTCATAATGCAAAAAGCGTGGAAAGGGATCTTGGCGTAAACTAAAACCAGATATCTGTAGGAGACATAGTGTCAAGATTAATTTGGGCTCAGGTTCTGCAATATGTGAGGCCAGGTCACATTATCAGAGTGATATGTAAATTAAAACCCTTCTTCCCATCCATGGTGACTGCCCAGAGACTTTTAATACGGTTGGGGGACAAGCACAGAATTCTAATAAATAGACTGTTTGTTACCAAAGCAGATGCTACTATTTGTGCTTGTTTGAAGGCAAGACTGCAGTGGCTGAGCCATATAATAGACAGCTGCTCAGTTCAGATGACATCCTCTTTCTTCCCATCTATAAATGGGAAGCTCTTTTATTTTTCTTCCCCATCCACATCCCATGCATGAAGCCCCGCCTCCAGCTCTGGTAGCTCTCCCCCCTCCATGAGAGAATTCTTCTTTTGAGATGCCATTTACAGAACTTAAAAGAAACCCAACTGCTGCTGTGGAGGAAATTCAGCACTTTGTTTTGCACTGGCTCCAGTGACAGCCGAAAGCATAAACAAGTATGAAAAGACAGTGGTTTGGGGCTATTTATATGGGAGGCAAAGCGCCAGGAAAAAAAGAGACCCCTTGCACCTCCATACCTGCCATAGCCCTGAGACCGACAGGGGGATCAGCAGGTCGCCCCATGAAAAGGATGCGACCCTCACTGCTCTTTCTTCTTCAGGGGACGGATCAAACACTTGGACGTGGTGACACTGCTCCGGCGGATCCAGCCCCCCCTGGGCTTCGGGAAGCTCTGCCCTCACCGGGTGGCTTGCAAAGTAAGGCACGCTGCGGCTTGGGGAAGGTGACTGCTGCTTGGTCACAGCAACCCAGTAGCCCACAGTGGCTTCCTAACCCCGCGATGATGCCCATCTGCGCACTGCCAGCCCCCTCTCTAGCTAGGAGAGCGCCTGTGCTAACTGCAGGTCTCAAATACCGAGCGCTGAATCAACTGCACGCGTGTTTGTGGTGTCAAACACACATCCCAAGGCAGATTAGGAAAGACAGAAGTAACAGGGCAAGTAAAAATATCTCTGGGATTTTCTTTGGACTAAGCAGTGCACCAAAAACCTGGTGCTATCTCTCATTCCTACTTAAATAACTGACAGATATTAAACAGCAAGGTGAGCGTGGTATTAAAATAGGACAGATTTTCTGTGAAAATGTCACTCATTTCTTTTGTTGTGAGACTCTGGATATGAAAAAGGACTCTCTCTAGTAAATAATGACATGTTTATAAGCTTTATGCTTCCTTCACTTGAAATTCTTTGTTCATCTTCTCGCAAGTCAGAGTTTGTGTGTGACATTTGTAGTTGTTTTTTATATCAGTCTCAGAGCAAAATACAAAGCCTGGGGCCTGTACACAGAAACATATGACTTCTGTGGCCTACTGTTGACCCGTTTCAGTCTGCTGTCCAGCAATTGCTTGTTGTCCCGATCTGGTTCAGACTCCCCAGTCTATGGTTGCAGTGGTGGTGATGGGGGATGACACCCTTTCCTCCACTTCAGTACTGAACCAGGCCTGTTGCATGAAAGTGGCAGAAGCCAGAGCTCAAGTAAAAACAGAATGAACCCCTGAAAGCACAGGCATTCAAACCAAGTCCCTGGTGCCTCTTACCTCCTGAGACAGAAGTAAGGATACGAGATCTGGTGACTCTGCTACGTCTGTTCAGATATGTGTGGTTGGTCTCACTGCGGTTCACCCTGCAGCTGCAACAGTCGGTACTCAGAACTGTCCTGCATGGCTGTACAGAATCACTGCAGGGCAGACACAGCCTTGTTTTAGGAATGAGAGGGGGAATAGCTGGATAAAGCAGAACAGCGTTCAGGTTCGCCTAATCCCCTTTCTTCAAGTCTGTCACCTAAAAGAAGGCTTCTGGGTCTCTGTTTATATAAATTTGCACCAGGCACAGCTTTAGTGCAGGCCAGATGAGTTTGCAAGTGCCTCACGAGGTATGAAGAAATCAATTTGCTCCTGATAAGAAAAAAAGGTGTCATTTAAAAGCCAAATGGTTTGGGAACTGGAACAAATGTCTGTCCGTGTAACACACTGTGGGCAAATGGCCACTGGCCACTGGGGAAAATGGTTGGAAAGTGATAGCCACACTGAAGAAAACAGAGTCTCCAGCAATGGGAGACCCCAGGGCAAACACAACATGGTTGGGACCGTAGGTAGATACGACAAGTACTTTTATAATTCTGTAACTAAATCCACAGGCCATGGCTGCTCATGTAAGAGGCACGGCAGGTCTGGAGGGCATCATGACGTCATGAGGAAGAGCATGCTTCAATCCATATGTTGCCAGTATGATTGTTCTCTTTCTTCTCCTTACTCCACAGCGCCTTGTCTCCATGAATATGCCACTGAACAGTGATGGGACTGTCATGTTCAATGCCACTCTCTTTGCACTGGTCAGAACAGCACTGAGGATCAAGACAGAAGGTAAGAAGCTTGCTGACCGCAAGGGTACAAAGGTAGCCGGGTGGTGTTCGCACCAAAGTGTGCTGAGCTGGAACACAACAATAAGGACATCTTGTGTAAAATGATCCCAGTGACTCATATGCAGCAAATGGCACAAAAAACAATGGAAAGAGGTTTGGAGGAATAATATCTTCTAGGCGGAGAAGGATGTTTCCAGTTACCTAGAAAGCTGGCACTTCCCATGGTATCATCTCAGATTATTGATCACCTTCTTTACAGTGGTCTCAGAGTTAGAAGTTTTAGATTGATATCTGCTCAAACAGCAATGGGGGAAGGAAGAAGGGGGCGAAGAGGCCTCCGCTTGTGCAAACTGGCTGCAGAGCTGGGCCACTTTTTGACTGCTGTTGCCACTGACCTTCCAGTCCAAGCGAGGCAAAAGTGCTTGTACTTGAGGATCTCACCTCACTAAAACTCCTCCATGCTGCCATTAGCATGAATTAACATCACATTGTAGTGACAGTGGTGTTGTACCCTAAAGACAGATGAGAAGCAAAGGGACTGTTAACAGCTTTGCATAGACTAGCAGGTATAGTTAGGGAAAGCAGATAATATTTTGGGCTCAGCTTGTCCCCTTTGTTGCACTCTGTCACTTGCTGTAATGAAAGATGTTGGTCCTGAGTCAAAACCTGGCTTCATGTATTAATGAGATGGTCTAAAAGAGCATGTAGGTCTGTGATCCACAGCTAAACACCTCTGCCTCAGGAGTGGATGTATTACATTTCAGGCATGGGAAAGCAGAGACCAGCAGAACTATCATTTACTGTGCCAGGATTATACTGATAGCTGAGCCACAAAAAGCAGTGAAATTTTAAAATTGTATTAAGGCTTTGGATGTTGTGCTGAACAGAATTTGACTGCGGCCAAAGGGGCTCTCCTGAGGAAAAAGCCAACCACAACCACAACCCCTGTAGGACATCTTGTGTCTTATGAAACACAGACTCAAAAAGGACTCAATTTTCCTGTCTGTCTTAGCCTCAAACTCTTCGAGTCATTGCCAGTGAGCTCCTGGGAAACCACCTAAAGCCTCAAACTGCAGGAGCAGTTACTTACCTTGTAAGTAGTTAGTGCAGGAGTTTGGAATTAGCCCTCCCAAGTCAGATTTCTGCCTTTGATGCTGTCCACCTGTTCCATCCTCAGCAAGTTACATGGTGTCCCTCTCTTCACTGTGTCCTGTGAAGAGAGCTACTGGCCTGTGGAGTCCTGTGCAGCACACTGAGGAGCCTTAATGCTGGGGAGCGATAAGAAAAGCTTTAGGAACAGGACCTTTAGGAGGAGAAGACAGGGTTTTAGTACACATAGCGAGAGAAGAAAGCTTCAGTCGTAAAGGTTTTGAATGCACATAAATCAAGAAATAAAATTGAAGGTGAGTCATTTGGGAGGAATGGGTACCTAGAAGGAAAGGATATAAACTGAATCTGCTTCACTCACTTTCAGGGGGTAGTGTGGCTTGATTAATGCCTCATTTAGCTCAGGGCCCCTTGGAGGAACATGTAATGTCTGTGTTCAGACAGTTACATGAAAGTCTTGTTATAGCCTGTGCTGTTCTTCAGAGAATAAACACAAATATCCTGAGACAGTCTTCTGAGTTGGATAGCGAAAGCCTCACACATGCCTGCAGTGCCTGTCAAAGCACTGTGCAGACTCTCCAAAGCAAACTCTTGGCACCATGTGACGAACTCGGTGTCTGCTGGGAGGCAAGGATTGCAACAGGTAACTCTTGGGAAGTGCTATAAGCAGGCCCTGGTCTTCAGATTCCTAGATGCATCTTTACCGCCCATTGTTTGTCTTCCTCAAGCTGCAGTTTCCTATTAACTGTCCTGTGTTCACTGTGACCAGGTGAATGATCTGCTCAGCCTGGTGTTAGAGCTGAAAGAGGAAGTGGAGAGGTTAAGGTGGCCCAGGTGAGGTGGCCAAGAAGGCCAAGGGCATCCTGGCTTGGATCAGGAACAGTGTGACCAGCAGGAGTAGGGAGGGGATCGTGCCCCTGTGCTCGGCACTGGTGAGGCCGCACCTCGAGTGCTGTGCTCAGTTTTGGGCCCCTCACTACAAGAAGGACACTGGGTTGCTGGAGCATGACCAGAGAAGAGCAACAAGGCTGGTGAGGGTTCTGGAGAACAAATCTTACGAGAAGCGGCTGAGGGAACTGGGGCTGTTTAGTCTGGAGAAGAGGCTGAGGGGGGACCTTACTGCTCTCTACAGCCACCTGAGAGGAGGTTGTAGTGGGGCAGGTGTTGGTATCTTCTCCCAGGTAACTAATGATAGGACGAGAGGCAGTGGCCTCAAGTTGCATCAGGTGAGGTTTAGATTGGACATTAGGAAAAATTTCTTTACTGAAAGAGTGGTCAGGCATTGGAACAGGCTGCTCAGGGAGCTTGTGGAGTCACCATCCCTGGAGGTGTTCAAAAAAATGTGTAGATGTGGCACTTGGGGATATGGCTTAGCAGGCATTATGGTGTTGGGTTGAGGGTTGGACTTGATCTTAGAGGTCTTTTCCAACCTTAATGATTCTATGATTCTGTTCTCATCATATTCAACCTTCACTGAATCTCAATTAAAATTTGAAGTGTTAAATGAGATTTTTGCTTTTCAGGGTGAAGTAGCACCATGGTTCTGTTGTTTCTGGCTGTTGCAGACTACCAGTAATAGTCACCTTCCTACCCTGAGATGACTATGCATATTTAGGAAGAAGACCTCTTGCTCTGAGGGGGGTTTAGCAATGGTCAGAACATCTCTTTGCCTAGAAATTCCCACTACTGCAAAAGCTCTGATATTCTTCTCCTGAGACTGCAGTGCTAGATATGAAACTGCTCCTCTGCAGGGTCTGTTTAATTCCTGCCTCTGATGATTTTCACCCTGCAGGTAACCTGGAGCAGGCCAACGAAGAGCTGAGAGCAATAATTAAGAAAATCTGGAAGCGCACCAGTATGAAGCTGCTAGACCAGGTGGTGCCTCCCGCAGGTGGTGAGTGCAGGATCTTGTCCCAGTCTTTGAATCTCTCTGTCTTTTTCCCCACCTGAAATGTCCTACTGCTCTTCGTGATCATCAGGAATATGGGGGACAAGCTTTCTTCTACAAGCTGCTACCTGTATTTCGTCA